TGACATCTTTGGACAGCTCGTTGGTCTTGACCACGGTGGAGAGTTTGGAATCTGATTGATTGATTGCTTCTGTGGACAGGTGTATTTTATACAGGTAACGAGCTGAGATTAGGAGCATTCTTTTTATTAAATACTTATTTCACTCATTAACATGCAAATCAATTTATAACTTTTTTGACATGCGTTTTTCTTGATTTTTTTTTGTTATTCTGTCTCTCACTGTTAAAATGCACCTCCTAATTATTGACTGATCATGTCTTTGTCAGTGGACAAACGTTGAAAATGAGCAGGGGATCAAATACTTTTTTCCCCCTCACTGTATGTGTCAGTGTGTGTATCTGTTTGTCAGTGTGTGTATTTGAATATATGTGCCAGTATGTGTATCTGAGTGTGTGTTTCAATGTGTGTATCTGTGTGTCAGTGTGTATTTGAGTGTGTGCATGTATGCGCCAGTGTGTGTTTGTGTGTGGGGGAGGGGGAGGGGTGACACAGTAGCTGGTGAAGCCACCTCCCTGAAATTCTTTTTTGCATGTTGGGATGGCTGCGGGTTGGAGAGCAATGACTGACCCAGAAGAGTTGGATTGAGAGAATACCCAGATTTCTCTATTACTATCAGGCAGAGTCCTACGAGCAACAGAAAACAGAGGATTCTGAGCCAATAGCTGCCTCCATCTAGCCCAACTCTTCTTACTCCTGAATTCAGGCTGTCTACCTTGTGGGATGATGGAGGAAGCAACTGCTTCAGCCTACTCTGGCTAAAACCTTGGGTTTGCAGCAAAGGAAGGAGCCCTCACCAGTGGTGGCTGAGTAAGACAGCCTTTCTCTCTGAAGGAAGGGAAGAGGACAGAGGCTTGATGCCTGGCTGGAAATGGTGATAAGGGTTGTTTGCAACCTTGGTACTTTGATTTATCAAATTAATTTCATTTGTAGACAAAATTTCAAACATGTGGTACTACATTGAAGATGAGCCTAAAAGCTGCATGAATATTGTATGTGAGCTGCATAGTGTGTCAATAAGTGTTTACACTACATTTTGTGGGTGTCTGTGTCAATGGCAAGTGTCCTACTGAATTACCAGTTGAACCCATTCAGTCAGGGACAATGATAGCAACCAACTGCAGTGTGCTAAGGTGCAGTGTGCTCATCTTCCTGTCCGTCCGCTCCTTCGCACGCCTCCCACATCTGTCCCTACGTTGGCTTCCCTTAAGATATAGGGCTCAATTTAAGATCCTGGTACTTGCTTTCAAATCTCTACACAATGGTACTCTAACCTACCTATCCTCATTAATACACAAATATGTCCCGTCTAGGCCCATATGCTCTGCTGAAGACCCAAGTCTCACCCCTGTTCATACTCTTCATACTCATACTGACTTTTCACTGTCTTTTTTCTCTAGGGCTGAACCATTCCTATGGAACGCCCTTTCTATCGCTGTTAGACTTTCACCCAGTCTCCATTCCTTCAAAAAGACTAAACTCTACCAAAAAGACAAACTTTTCAAAATGTACTTCTTCAGGAGCACACATCAATTAAACTGTCAACAGCTTTTCCTTCCCGAACCCTGATTCCTCTCCTGCAACTATAAGCAAACCAAAACACTAAGCCCTCAATGAATACTATCCTAGCAACCTACTTTTAAACCCTATCCTTACCTTTTGTGCCACTATACCCCACTCCCTTTAGCACGTAAGCTCATTGAGCAAGGACCTCAATCCCTCTGCTCCTGTGTGTCTAACTCGTCTGGTCACAAATACGTGTCTGTTAGTCCACCCATTGTACGGAATTTTTGGCGCTTTAGAAATAATGATAATAATAAAAAAGAGAATTATGTATTTTGGGGTGGAGAAAGGAGTTAATTGGAAGAGAAATGTGCCAATTTAATTTGGAAAGGGACATGAGTAGTTGGCAGGCATATGTGGCAAATCTAATTTCGGGATAGAAAGGGTTCAAAGGCAGACAAATGTGACAGTCTACATTGGGAGAAAGAAAATGGACTGGTTTGGGATTGTAATGTATTTTACATAAACCCCCAAAATATTGAAAACAATGCTTAGATTGATGCCCAAAAGAAAAAAATACCCTTTTCTGTGCTTGTTGTTGTGGTAATGTATTTTTACTATAGAACTGGTTATTTTGTAGATGCAAGTGGGGACATTTTTGGTAAATTAGAGGTCAATTAGGGAGTATAGGTAGGTTGGAGCAGCATTATGTAGGGACTTGTAAGCAAGCACCAGAATTTTAAATTGAGCCCTATATATAACTGGAAGCCAATGCAGGGATTGACAGATCGGAGAGGAATGGGAGTTGTTAGTGGACAGGAAAATGAGCCTTGTCATTGCTGCAATCTATAATGAATGCCGCGGCAAGGCTCATTTTCCTGTCCGCTCGCACCTCCTACGCCAGTTAGACATAGGGCACAATTTAAAATTTTGGTGCTTGCTTACAAGTCCCTACATAATGCTGCTCCAACATACCTATCCACCCTAATACACATGTATGTCCCGTCAAGGCCCCTACGCTCTGCCAAAGACCTATGTATATCCTCTGTCCTTACTCCCACCTCTAATGCTCGCCTCCAAGATTTCGCCAGGGTTGCATCTTCTCTGAAAGACTTTCACCCAGTCTCCACTCATTCAAAAAATCATTGAAAACTCACATCTTCAAGAAAGCATATCAATTAAACTGTTAGTAGGTTTTTATCCCCCACCCCTCAGGACTCCTCTCCAGCAACTGTCAAAAATGATCTACTAAGCCCTCATTAAATACTTTTATAACAACCTACTTCGAACCCCTACTTTTACTCTTTGTGTCACTATAAGCCACTCTCTCTAGAATGTAAGCTCATTGAGCAGGGCCCTCCACCTCTCTGTTCCTGTACGTCCAGTTGTCTGGTTACAATTACATGTCTGTTAGTCCACCCATTGTACAGCGCTACGGAATCTGATGGCACTATATAAATAATAATAATAATAATTGTCTGGTCTGAAGTAGGGGGCCCTCTGTTCATTAGTTCTGTTACTGATTATAAACCAAACATTGTTAATAAGTAATTTAATAATAAAATATATTTGGAATGAATATTGACTTCAACAACCTATAAATCATCTTGTCACCTACTAATTACAAATCAGACTTCCACGACTAATTTCCCTCATGAATACAACAGATATATTTCGCTCATCTATCTGCCTTGCATCATAGAAATGCAATTACATGTTATACATAAAACTGCACATTGCATTTTAAATTATTAAGTGGATGAAGAGATATAGTTTGCTTTTGCAATATTACTTTGAAAACTGTGTTTAACTTTTGTCAGTGTGGAGACTGAAAGTGCACTGAAAGAAATGGACATTATGTCTAATCATCCTTCATTTCAATTCAAGGTGTAATTTACTTACTATGACATATTCCCCTTCAAATGTTAATATCAGTGACAAGTTAATATATGCCTTGAATTTAACATTTGAAGACCACTTGTCTGTTCTCCTACCCAAAGTTTTTTTTAATCTTGTTTAACTTCAATATACTAACACGTGGACACCAGACTAGATCTATGAAAATGAATAAAATTAATAGAATTTTCTAAATGTAGCTCAGATATCAACTAGATCACTAAATCCCAGTCACATTACAAATTCACTAAGAACACTGTAGCAATTATTTTCTTTGATTCCCACAGCAGCTTGCATTTCAAACTGTGACAGCTCAAAAATAGATAGGGCACGTCCTTGATCTTATTTGAAAATTAAGGCTTTGAACTTCAAAAAACTACACACCATCCAAATCTGACTGCTATATGGTCATTGTATTAGAGAATCAACACTTCCTTCTATTTGGTATACAGGTCAAAGGGTATGAAGGGCTAATCATTAGAAGAGGATATTAAATTTCATTTGCAATTGTTTTCTTTCTACTTGATTGTATTGTTTCAAAGAAGTTTGTCAAAAAATTGCATTGTCAATTCCTTTAATTTGCACAGTTTTAAATCTTTATTTGATATGATTTGCTCAAGAACACAGTTAACACAGGATAACTAAGGTTGCACTGGGTGCAATGCACAACCTGCTTTAGCTTTCAAAACAGCCCAGGTCTTGATTACCCTTTTAACTTAAGGAAAGCCTAAGTAAATGCATTGCAATAAAAACAGAGAATATGGAAACTCTGATAAAGGGTACAAAAGCTCAGAGAAACTCACTAAACGTTACTAAACTAGTAAAGGTGGTGTGTGGAAGAACCAACCAATTGTAGGAGGGAGAGTGAGCTGGGGCTATGCAAGCAAAGTAACTGAGGAGTATAATAAGAGGAGCTTCAACCAGGAAAATAGGCAGGAAAATGGGCAGGAGTGTGTGGATCACCTCTTCTACCATTTTCCAATATTTTTGGGATTTCTGGGCATGTCCATCAAATGTGGTATAAAGAGGTGTATTTTCATTGACTTCTTAAAGAGGTGTATTTTCATTGACTTCTAAAGAGGTGTATTTTCATTGACTTCTTAAAGGACTAGAGCAGGAGTTCTCAACCCAGTCCTTAAGGACCCCCGAACTGTCCAGGATTTAGGGATTACCCTAATGTGTTTTTAGGGGAGGGGGACAAACACTTTAGATACAACAGGGTAATTCCTAAATCCTGGACTGGTAGGGAGTCCAAGGGTTGAGAACCCCTGGACTAGAGCATAGGGTAGAATTTGAAGCAGGTGCCTACTCTTCCAAAATATAGTGTGTCCAGAGCGAGCTGAACAAGGATGGTGAGGATCTACCAGCATTACTACCTCACACGCCCTGTCAGGAGATGGGATATGATGTCACTTTCGCCCCAGTATCACTACAGGGTAGCAGAGCATGAAAATTACAGCAGCCACACTGGACCCCAGGGAAATGACCCACACCAGCTCTCCTAAAGGTAGGTAGGGAGGCTGGGAGGGCCTCAAACAAAAATTAAAACAATTATAAATAAAAATTAATTTGAGTGGAAAGGGGTATCTGCCGTTATGGACGTCCTTTTCTAGGCAAGATGCTGTGAAGTAATGGAGTTCTTATTCCCATCCACGATATCCAAGTGTATAATCCGGCATTGCTGTAAAATGAGGCAGAGTAACAGTACCATAAATCCCCTCCAAGAACGAGACGAGGCTACGTTTTGAAGGGTCAAGTAGAACTGATGTTTATTGACAGGGGTCTCCTTTTATGCAATGGTGCCCTCTGAAAGGCTACACCCACATAATTAACACAACAGCCAATCAGATACATGGTACAACCCCCACGTCTCCTCCCCTCAGATAAACATATAACATAATTAAAACAGACACAATTTTACCCACATTCTGGATGTACCCCAGTCCAGCACCACTTGATAGCTCTCACTCAGGGGAGCAACATGTCCAAATTTCAGCCCATTCGGTTGAGGGGTTTGGGAGTTATGGATCTTTGAAGTTTTGACCGACCGCACAGATTTTCTAGCCGAAAAGAGTTCCATAAGTTTTGGCCTTGCGGTCGGTCTCGTTCGTGCATTAAAACCCCACGAACCCCTTGCCATCCACAGTCATCCTGGTGTTCGCTGGAATCCCTATGTGAGCTTAAGCAAAGCTACCGAACGGCCGGTTGTTCGGAAGTTCCAGCATGAAATTACGAGCTCCTGGAGGTCTCAGCGGTGTTCGCCTGTTTGCGTATCCGATTTTAGCTCCATGCGTTCACGGGCAAACACCGCTGTTCGTGCGTAAGATGGCCGCGAACACGTGTAAAGTCCCGAAATGGCGGCCATCTAACCTGAGCACAAAGGAATTCGTGTGAAACCATGCGAACGGCTCCAAACACGCTGGGAGGTAAAATACCACTTAACTGTTCCCCTGGGTGGTCCGATGTTCGGTATTTTGAGCTGTATTCTTCGGTAAGGATATTTCCACAAAATAGTGATTCGGTTTTTGTAATACATCCAGCGGCATTAATATATAAGTCCAGGCAAAAAGCATAGGCAAAAGCATAGTTCTGTTACACCAGAATTTGGAATAATCAGGGAAAAGCCAAGATAAGGATACCAGGAAGTCAGATTCACAAAGATAAACGCACTCTCGGGAACTAGAAACAGGAAACCACGACAAGGCAAGGAACTGGAGTGAATTAGGGATTTAAATATCCCTCTCCGGGTTCTGATTGGTCAGAGGGTGACCTTTGACCCCAGAACGTGCGCGTGCGTTGACGTTGTGATGTCACGCGCACGTTTGTATTAATTTGAGGGGCGAAGCTTAAGATGGATGCGACCACGTGGTCCGCGCCATCTTTGATTTGGGCACGACGCCCAGAGAAAGCAGAGGAGCGGCTCCCGGCTCGCCGACGAGCAGGTAGGCTCGTGGTGTCGGCGAGACCGTGCTGGACTGCCATACACACATCTTCGCCTTCTCTAATTGCTTGGGGATCTGTACTAAATTTCTGTGTGGGTATGTACAACAATGATGTGTACATATAAATATGGATTTTTATAGTTAGTCTCCTGTGGTAAGGGCCAGTGTTGTCTCATACACCACTCTCAAGTGTTTTCCAGTGTTCCTTCCACATCTGCCCAGCCTCAATTGTGTATTTCCCCCCCCCAGTCATTTGTTTGGTTGCTTGTAGTCCCAGTTAGTATTGATTTGTTGGAGCAGCGTTCCTTTAGAGGGCTGAAGGGGGCTTTTCCATGCCCTGGCTAACAATGTGTTGGCTGCGATTAGTGTCTGAAAAAGCAACTGTTTCTCCATCTTAGACATTTCAACCGGCCACATAAAGAGGAGACTTTGTGTAGGAGTCAGGGGACCCCACATGGGCAGGAGTGTGTGGATCACCTCTTCTACCATTTTCCAATATTTTTGGGATTTCTGGGCATGTCCATCAAATGTGGTACATTGTCCCCCTCTCCTCCCCACACCTCCAACATCTGTCTGACTCATAAGGGTGTGCTAATCTTGTTGGTACCAAGTACCAGCGATACTGAATCTTGCGTACGAGCTCAAAGGAGAGTGGCATAGGCCACAGACAGAAGTTTTTTCTGTGGTTTATGTGCCATGCATAGCATCTCGAATCTAGACATAGTCAGTGTGGTCAGTCTCCGAGTGGTCGTTTTCAGAAGAGATTTGAGTTGAAGGTAAGAAAATATGGCATTGTGTGGTAAGTCAAACTGAGTCTGAATGTCAGGGAATTGTTTCAAGGTGTTCACTTGGTAAACCTAATGTACGTGGGTGCATCCCCTCGATGTCCATACTTTGTGATTGTAAGTCGGGTTGTATAGGTGTATGCTCTGTAGTGGGGTTGCCAGGGAGAGCGGTTCTCCGTGGCAAAAATGTTTCTGGTTTTTCTCCAATGTGTGTAACAGAAGTGTGGCCGTGCTCAACATTGAGTTTAAGCTCGGTCTCAAGAGTTTGGGAATCTAGAACAGTAGGTGCAGTAATGCCCTGCAAGCCCAAAATAATTTTGGTGCCACCCACTGGGGTGTACCAATTTAAGCATGTGCAGTCACCACTGAATTTCAGGTCCAGTAATCCCAGGCACACCCTGGCCTGTGTTTTCTGTAGTATGCTTGTAGCCACTCTGGGTCGTTTATTGGCCCACACAAAGCATGTGACCGACTTCTGTAGGTTAACGAAATAGTGTTTGGGTAGAGGGATCTGCAAGGTTCGCATTATGTATAGAAGTTTAGGGAGCAGTGACATCTTGAATGCTGCAACTTTCTTCTGCCAGGATAAGAGGTCTCCTTCCCATGTCTGGAATGTTTGTGTAAACTCTTGTTGAAGTCTAATGTAGTTTTTTGTATAAAACTGATGTTCTGGGGGCATGGCTTGGAGGCCAAGGAAGATGGCGGCGTAAACCCGGAGCTCCCCGGCAGGCACAGATAAAATCCTCATCTAAGCACTACCCATCGAGCAAACATGGGCAAAACACACCGGGCACCAAACTCTAACAAGCCAGCCGACACACCAAAGGGCTCCACTACCTCCTCCCTGAGACACTATCTGGTACCGGATACAGAAACGGCCTCACAGGCCCCCTATGACTCGGAGACCTCTGGCACCTCCCGCCCAGCATCGCCACATGGCGAACACCAAGCGCTGTAGACCCAGACCCCCTCAGGCCCCCAAACTGACTGGGTACAGCTGATAAGGGCGCTCCCGACCAAGCAAGACCTGAAGGAGGCCAACTCAGAACTGCGGACCTCCATCACTGCGGAGCTGCACTCCCTCAGGGAGGATATCCAGGGCCTTCACACCAAGGTATCCCAGCTGGAAGAGGACTGCGACCACCTATCGTCTGCCCAGTCTGCTACTACAGATACCCTACATGGCCACATGGCACAGATGTGACAAATGGCCTTACATATGGAAGACCTGGATAACCGTGGCCGACGGCAAAATATTCAGGTGAGAGGTATCCCCGAAGATGTGGACCCAAGGGATGCGATCTGTTGCCTGGCCAGCTTCCAGCTCAAGGAAGACATACTGCGCGAAGCACACGCAACGGAGAGAGTCACACTCAACGGAGTGGAAATGCAACTTTACCCGGACCTCTCACCAGCTACCCTGGCATACCGACGGGCGATGAGGCCCCTCACTAGAGCCATACAAATGAACAAAATCAGATACCGATGGAACTTCCCAACAGGGTTACAGGCCATCACTGCTAAGGGACCCTTCACAGTCCGACACCCAGAGGACCTAAGCGACCTAATTGTGGAACTACAACTCCCACCAATCAATATGTCGTGGCCAGACCCCCTTGCCTTTTACACGGCGAACCCTGAGACCCGGGGGCTTCCACCTCCGCCCCGCAGGAGCAAGGGGACCTGCCAGCAGGCCCCCAGACTCTCGGGGACTGCAACATAAGAGGACCGGAGACAGACGCAGTGCATAACCGCAAGTACAACCCCATGGGACTTTCTTACTGCTCATGGCGCCAGCCCCCCACGAACACTATGGGACCTAAGCAGGACACTATGTAGTATTACTCGAAAAGGGGGGTGGGGGAGGGAGAGGTGGGAAACGGGGCCACCCGGCTATTGCCCTACAGACGCCCTGTAAAAATGCTTGGTACTTGCCCACCGAAAGGGGAGAGGGATTGGAGGGACACCGCAAGGGCAGGGACACACATGCAGACAGGCCCCGATATGAGAGGGGGGGCTGGAGAGGGCATGGAACCAAGGGGGGGGTCACCTTGAGGAGGGGCCACACTGACAGGCAAGGAGGAGAAGGGACAAAGATGGAGAATGGCCTGCCCAGGTCCGACGGGATGGGGAGGGCGTTCAACCCAGACTGGACCCCGCCATCCCTGGGAGCCGTGTGATGACTTAACCGAGCAGGCTGCGGGCCCAGCCGGCGGGGCCCACCCACACACTAGGAATACATGGGAACTCAGAGGGGGGTGAGGGGGTACATTGGACGATCAGGCACTGCAGGTCCAACCAATGCCACAGAGACCTGCATGCGCCTGACCACCCTGCCCATTCATTACCCACCTCACATGCAGACCCAACCCAAGACCAGAACACTGGGGAACACCTGAGGGGGGCCGGGGGCGGGGGAGACATCCCATGCGGGGGTGAATAGGGACCTGATTAGAGAGGAGGGCACACTCACTAGGGAAGGTGGGAAAGGAGACGAGGAGCTCGAACACTCTGAGAAGGGCACCAGCACTACGGTTTGTGCTGCTGAATTACACACGCTAGGTTGAAAGTTAATGTTTTACAGCATATTTTTCGATGTTTTATTACAATGTGAATATACACATACACTGCGGATGCCTGCAACCACCTAACGTAATTTGACCCAGAACTAAGGGGTTACTGGCCCCACTGACGAGGATCACAAAGACGGCACGATTCTATATGACAGAGCTGATATAGGGATCCATAGGGACCTGGCGGGCAGAGACCGAGACACTACCCAAGGATCTCAACCACAGGGACATGGGGAGGGCTGGATCCGCCCTAGATCCCCCTGCCTCCTTCTACAACCCCACAGGGCACAGCGACCTTAGATAGGCGAGTGGAATCTGCGGACCACAGGAGACCGCGGACTTACCACTCCCCGTTGCTGACACCTTTCCGTCACCCTACGGTGACTAGACCACACGCACACACCTCACACCCCCCCTGCTTTCCCTACCCAACTACCCCACCTGACAAACACTCCCCACGACACCCAGACTCGACTGTGACTTGCAGACCAAACAAAGCGGCCACCGCGGCACTGCGGCACAAATAACGCTGATACCAGCCATCAGCAGCCATCACGCAGGGAAATCCAGGGGTAATGCCATCCTGATCAACAAAAGGATAC